AAAAAAAAAAAAAAAAAAATTTTTACACCAAAGCCAACAAATAAATTTTTAAAAAAACAAGTTTTTTTTTTTTTTTTCGAAAGGTGATAACCAAAGTGATTATATTTAATACTAATGATATTTTTTTAAACGAACAAATATTATTTGAAAAAAAAAAAAATGTCTGCCATTAATTTTTTTCAATGAACTTAAGACAATTTCCGAGGCAAAACAAAAACCAAAACAAACGCACGATTTATTCTACCAATGAAATAAAAAAAAAAAAATTGATATTGTACTTCCTACCATTCGGAGATTTACAATCTAACAAAATAAAATTTGAAAGTAAATGACGGAATGTAATAATAATAATAATAATAATTAATTTTTTGTGAAAGGACTTTATACCTAGTACTAGAAGGGAAAAACCAACCAAGTACAAATTAAAAAAAAAAAATTTACATGGGTAGAAAAAAAATTTTTAATGTTTTTTTTTTTTTTTTTTTCTATTCTAAATCCCGTTAGTTTCCGTGTGACCAACAAAAAAAAAAAAAAAAAGATTCATCATGATTTAAAATAACCATAATGATAATTATCATACAACCCATGTAAATTTTTTTTCTTTTCTTTTTTTTTTTTTGTTTACTCCCAGAAATCGAGTAAAACATTCCCCCCCCCCAAGTTAATGATTATCAAATTCATAAAACAAATGATTAAAAATCAATCAAGGTTAAATAATATGAAACTAGTAAATGTTATCCATTTTGAAAAAAAAAAAAAAAAAAAAATTTATGGTAATGCAAATGAAAAATGTTTCACTTTGAGAGAGAGAGAGAGAGAGAGAAAAAAAAAAAAAAAATGAACGAATGAAAAAAATATTATTTTAAAAATCTTATGTAGTGAGTCGTTTTAAAAACTGCCTTTTAAATTTAAATTATCCTACTGCAATAAACCATTAATTAATTAATACTAAAAGGGAAAATTTTTTTTTATTTATAAAATTGATTCTTTTTCTTTCTTAATTACGAAGATAAACTTATATAACATAAATTAATGCATATTTAATTTGAAAAAAATCCAATAAAGTCTTAATTACATAAGACTGCATTTTTAAAAAGTAGAAAAACAAGATAACTAAAAAGAGTTTCCCTACAAAAATTTTTTTTTTTCTGTGAAGTTACAAACAAAAAAAAAAAATTATAAACTTCTAATTTTTTCGATATTCTTTCGAAAAACTTGTTTTTTTTGTTAAATGATATTGCACTAGCTATTTACAGTTTATTATTTACTCATGTTTTATTTCATGTAATTAATTGTAAATAAGAATTTAATAATGTACACTGTATTATATTATAACCCCAAAACGAAAAAAAATGAAATCTAGAATTAGAAAGGAATTTGAAGGTTACACGACCAAAGTTATTAAAATTGATATTTTGTAAATAATAATAATTACCTGTTGACAAGTTAAAAACAATGCAGAGAAAACAAAAATCCCTGCAATGACCTGTGCAGCTTTTGTTTCCAAAAAAATTGGCGATGTTTTTACAATTTCATGAACCGTTGATGGTGATGATGAAATAACATCGCTTAAAGTTGTTAAATTTTTGACTAAAGTCTTAGGTGTTGTCGTGGACGATGATACTGTGGATGACATTTCTAAAAAGGAACACAAAAATTTACATTTATATTACATTGTTTTAATCATTTTATAAAATTTTAAATAAAGTATATTATCACATATGACTTTAACATATTTTTTTAATACCTTATTCTATCTATTCTACCTTAAAATCAAAAATTCAAGTTAAATGATGTTACTATAGTAATGGTAATAAAAATAAAATCTATAACATTGTGGAAACATATGGCACCCCGAAAGAATAATGTTATGTCATTAAAATTATAAAAATTATTCTTTTACATGGTCGGGGGTTAATTTTAAGCATATATATATGGAACTGTAAGCAGTGGTGATAATAATGCGGAAACTCCGCAGGCGTAGGTATTATTGTAAAGCAAATTATAAGCCTACCTGTCAAAAACAGAATATAAAGTTAACAACAAATCAATTAATAATAGTAAGATTTAATATGTATTGAAACATTTTCTAACACTAAAATTTAATTCACTACAAGGTTTAGTATAAATTACATTCCGCAAATATTTTATATAATTTCCCAACGCGGAAACAACAAATCAAACATTTTCTCTTAAACTGAATTACTCGCACAATCTGACCTTAATATTCTCACTTTGCGCATGACACATGAAATTGTTTGCCGCCATAGACGTCAAAAAATTTTAATACTCTAAGAGTGCCATATAAAAATTTTTTATCTCTATGAGTTTATGTTTTTTAATACACTTATCAATAAAAAAATAATTTATTTATTTTTTGTCTTTTTAAGAAATAATTTCAATCCAACATGAACTTGATTGATACTGGAACAGATCCTTGGTTTGTTACTGTCTTCATATCAATCATTCTTTAAATTTACCTATTAATTAAAAAAAAATTTTTATTTATTCTAGGATCATTGAATATAATGCTTGTGAAAATGTTGCTAGAGAAATAATGGAAAGTTTAAATCTTAGGAACAGCGAAGAAAATTATGGTTCCTCTTATGATGCTCTCTCAGCAAAAATTAGAATCAGATTAAAACAATTTGATTCTGAAGTAAATGATTTAAAAAGAAAATTAAATTTATCTAGCACAGTTAGTACATTGTATCCTTGCATAAAAATTTTTTATTCATGAATCGTTTTCCATTATTTTCTATTTTTTCACATGCTTTTATGTTGTAAATTATTTTCTATAACGGTAATTAAACAGAACTCCTGAAGAAAAAGAAAGGAGGCAAAGACAAGTGGAAGCTTTGATTAGTAAACAAATACAGTTAGAAGATTGTTTAAATAAAGCTAAAAAAAATAGACATTTTGAACCGAATTACAGTAAATCACGATCAGAATTATTTGATAGTAAAAATAAAAATTCAAATTTAGGAGAATCGAATTCGTCGAAATTAAACCATTCGGATGACAATTATAGAGATTTAGATGATTTAAAAGCAGAACAAGAGAAATTACTTAAAGGTTAATATGAATTTTAATATCCCATTTATTATCATTATTTATAACATTATTAATAATAATAGTTTATTTTTAGAACAAGATCAAGGATTAGAAAATTTATTAAAAATTGTTTCCGCTCAAAAACAAATTGCAACAAGCATCAATGATGAAGTTGAACATCACAATGGTACCTTATCTTAAATTAATTTTTATTAAAGTTTATGATAATAAACATAAAAGATTTTATAAAGTTAAAAAAACTATTTTACAGAAATCTTAGTCGATATTGCTGATGGTATGGAAAGAGTAGATGGTAGAATCAATAGAGCAACTGACATGGTTCAAGTAATAAACAAAAAAGAAAGCATTTGGGGTAAACAATTTTTTAAAAAAAAAATGTTTTACAATATTCATAATTGCTAATTAATAATTACAAATTTTAATAATTTTTATCATTTAGGTTATTGGTTAGTTGCCATTCTTTTATTCATTGCCATACTAGGAGTTTCGTTTGCATAATTTTACAACTTGAACTTTTAAACAGTGCATTTAAATTGTTTTTAATTAAATTGTTATTTTAAAAAAGAAAATTTTTACTTGTACAGAGTATTATTTATGTTCAGTTAAAATTATTTATTGTTATGTTAGGTGATGTGTTTATTGAAAAAAACTATTTTAAAATGAAATGTTCCATTTGTTTTTTTTTTAAACATTAACAATATTGTGTTAAATTTTGTAAAAATAATCTTGTAAATTATTTTATTACCTGAAAAATAAAAGAAAAATAATTTTATGTCATTTGTAAATCGATTGAAAAGTTTTAATTATCTTTTCATTATTAAAAACATTCAAAAAATAATTTAAGATAATATTATTATTATTACAAGTTCATCAAATGATTTATTTGTAATTAGGTTTTATCGAATTCTAAATAAATTTATTTTAAAAAAAAATGAAATTAAATAAACATAAATAAACATAAATATTATTTTAAATAATATTTTATTTTTTATATATATTATAAGTTAGTACAATTGTAAAATATGGACATTTAAGGATATTACATTAACACATATGTTTTTTTACCAAATAATTTTAACACAATATACAAATACAATGTTTTTAAAATTAATATAAATTTTATTATTATTATTATTATTATTATTATTATACATATAATTAATGAATTATTATTATTATTCGTTTATTCTCGTTTCAAAAATTTTTAATTTTTTTTTTAAAGAAAGACCAAAAAAAAAAAATGACGAAAATAAATTTTTTATTAATAATAAATAAATAAATTAATTTATCGAATATTACTTGTATTGAATAATATTATTTATGGACATTATGAGGGGAAGAGAGAGAGAGAGAGAAAGAGAAAGAAAAAGATAGATAAATTTTTAATAAAATAGGAATGTCACGACGACAAACTTTCCCATTGATTTCTGCCACAAAAAAAAAAAAAAAAATATCCAGGAATGAAATAATAAATAATTTTTTTTTAAAATAAAAGAATAATAAATTTCCTTACATCTATGGTAATAAAAATTATTATTACTATTATTATTATTATTATTAATTTAAAATTTTATGGCAATCAACATTAAAAATTTACTAATTAATTAATTAATCACTACTTATTATTTTTTTTTTTTTTTACCAAAATAGGAACTTAAAATTTTAAATTAATATCTAATTATATAAATAATAATAATAATAATAATAATAAATATTGTATTGAAAATTTTTAAATTATTTTTTATTTATTTATATAGAAAATGACATAAATATTCAATATATATATATATATATATATATATTTGATATAAGTATATAATT